ATATTAATTTAAAAAAACCTAATAATGATTGAATAATGCAAATACCTATGAATAGTTCAACTTAAGTCGAAAATTTTTGAAAATTGCATGGTGGATAGAATATATTTATATAAACATTCGGTGAAAATTTCATGTATCTATAATGGTCATTTRTTTTAAAGTTACATGAAAAACCAAAATCGATTTTGTCGAAAGATGAGTGTGCGTAAAATTTCCCGTTTTCCCCTTAATTTTTAGTCTGTTTTTCTCAATTATTTAGAAAAGTATTAAGAATTGTTCACTTTTGACCCCCCAAAGTACCAACTAGATTCATTTTCTGATCGAACGAGGTACTGAAGTCAAAAGTAAAAAATCGAAGCACTTTTACTGCCCCAAAACGTGATGACAAACAGAAAAAAAAACACACATCATGGTAAAATCAATACATTCATCGCTCCGCTCAGAATCTAAAATCGAATTTAGGACGAGTAGTTTATGAATTATAAGTATTTAAAGTTTGATTGGCTGAGTGGAGTGGTACGGGGTTACTCCGCAAAATGTTTGTCCACTACTCCGCTTGTCTAAACTTTAAATACTTATAACTCATAAACTACTCGTCCTAAATTCGATTTTTATGAATCAAAATACTTAGAAAAATATTCTGCTTTGGAATATGAAATTTAAACTCTATGTTGTCATTCAAAAAAGTAAAAACTTAAAAAATGATAAGGATAAAGAATATTTAAAAATATAATTTTTTAACAACTTGAAACTATGTAAAATAATATTTTCAAAAACATWAATAATTTTTTAAATAATGAGTGTTCAATGATAAAAGAATCACCCGGTAGGTATATATCATATTATGAGGGGTATGGACTATGATGATTTTAGAAGCAAATAACAATCCATCAACATTTATAATTTGTAAAAATGGTTGAAGACTTCTAGTATAAAAAAGAAAAACACTAGATCCAAAATCATCACTATTTTATTTTTCGTAAAACTATTTATAGCAACTAAAAATTAAATAATTTAAAGTAAAAAGAGGGGGAAAATAGAAGTTTATTGTATCGCAATGCAGAAACCATTGAGACAGCAGGTACGAAAAATGTTAAGAAATTGAAAATATGGTYTTTAAGTATAYATTTAATAATTAAAAAACTCAGAATTCGAATAAATTTATTATTAAAGGGAAAAATGGAATTGAACATGCTCGGTGAACAATCTCCGTGTATTGGAGTATTCGAGTAACTCAAATAGCGTGTAGTAATTATTTACTAAAATAATGCACAACAGCGTCATTCGTGATTCCATCTATAACTCAACAAACATAARTATTGTACAAATCGTCTTTCCGTATTAAACGAATTAGATTTTTGGTTATATATGGGGGTCTTCGTTGTATATTAATTTGTCCCCTTTATTATGTTTTGAACTTTATAGAGAACCATTTTAGTTTATGCATCCCTGTGTATCTATTATAACATATGACATTTCGTCGTCTACCGGGGCGCGTATAATAAAACACGAAATAATAATTTCATATGAACAAAGTATAATCGATTTAGAGGTGTGTTTTTTCCTTTCTACCTATACATGCATACACTCGTATTAAAATGCGTACAGATTGGGACAATATTAGAAGTAGAGTACACAGAGTATATCCCATATTCCCATGCGATATATAATATTATTATTATTATATTTAAGGGGACAACTAAAAACGGGTTAAGATCGTTAAGTAGAGCGTATA